AATAACTGTTGAATCCATACATGAATTTTTAGGGCTGTCAATGGGGGGCATGGATCTGAATTCGGTTGAGCAATCCTCGTTCCTTGATGACATGATTGCAACATGGCGGAAGCAATTCAACAAGGACCGGATGAGGCCTAAGGATGTTATGAACGTTGTGCATAGATCAGTTGATGTAGGAGCTATGTTCAAGCTGAGTTTACTGTTTATAGTGATCAATACACTCGCAGAATGCAGCCAAGTCGGAGTTTGCAACTTGCTTTTCCTGACTCGCCTCCAAAGCATAGATATTATACCAAAGATTGATTGGTGTAAATATATATACGACTGCATAAAGACAAGCAAGAAATGCTGGAATAGGGACAGCCTTATGTCCTTTTACGCAGGCCCATTAACGTGCTTAACGGTAAGTAACAAGTTCAATATATGTAAATATATTTTATCCAACAGTTGTAAGTACTAACTACTTTATCCAACTTTTGCAGTTATTGTATGTCCATTCAACATCATGTGAATGCATTCAAGTCGAAGACGGGACACCTCCTTTGAGGGCATGAACAATGGATTTGTTGAGGAAAAGGCAAGAGGTTGAGATTAGAGGTGGTGGACTGGGATATGCGCAGTTTAAACATGTGTCGGACGTCGATCATGCACCGATTGACAAGCATGGTGAACCGGGTATAACAGCGAAGGACATTGGGGAATCAAGTTGGCATAATCAAGAGAGTGATATAAGTTATTGTTAATGTTAATGTTTTTAGTACATATGGCATATATTGTTTGCGTTTTAACAGTTTCACCTTTTCTTTTTTCAGGAATGCATTAGGAATATGCGAAAAAAGATTGATGATTTGTGTACCGCAAGAGAGGAGGCAGATTTGCATCTACAGTCACTTATTGAACGCTTTCCAGGGGACGTTGAAATAGAAGAATTCAAGTATAAGTTAGCACAAGTACTTAAAGGGAGCAAATGGTACTCCCAACCAACAGAGCCAACGGTGTACGAGCAATCACAGCCACCCACTGCAGATGCTACACCGCCAACGACAGGTCACGTGCCCACTTTGGCTATTGTTGAGGTAACACCTGCCAAGGTGGCGACCATATCGGATGCTGATTTATTGTCCCCATTATCTCAGTTCTGGACAAGTCCAACAGTGATCGCTGAGGTTGATAGGGCGTCAAATGAGAAGTCCACGCATCTAACAAGATACAATATGCACTCGAGTAAGCAGGTTGATCATACGGGACAGTTAAAGATGCCATCATTCAATTCACAGGTGGTCAAGGTTGGAAGTGTCCGAAATAGGACTATTGATCAGTCAGAAAGCCAGGCCCGAAAGATGTGTAAGAGAGGTGTTGAAGAAGCAGTGAAGTGTACGCCAGGAAATAGTGAACAACCACTTGTTTCGTATGGTGACATCAATCCACGATCGTTTGATTTGGAGTTAAGCCCATACGATAAACAAGTCGTTCCGGTTGTTGATAGTTCACGGGCTGAACGTAAGTTACAAGAGTGGGTAATGAGAGGGATCGGGGGAATTATGTAAGTCACATCATTGAAATGTTTAATATTTTTTTATAACAAATATATTTTTTATGACTCGATGACATAAAATTTTGAATGTAACTATGCAGTGAGCCAGTCTTCTCCTCACCAGGACGAACAGTTACACGGAAAGCAATGCAATCACTTGCATCCCAGTCCCGGGTTTGCAAAGATGTTTTGGACGCATGGTCAACAGTCCTCAACAGGGAAGAGAGATTAAGGAGCCATGAATCTCCACGCCGCCTTTTCTATCTGACATATGTTTCGGTAAATTAACATACTACCCAAGTTACTTATTCAAATCACAACATGTAGATGTTCAAATCAACGACCAAGATCAAAGTAACAGATGTTAACATTTTTCATGCACATTAGTCGATTTTGGTTCACTTATATGTTCATTCATCCGATTACGTAACCCGCTGCCACTCTATCTACCTACCTGCTGTGCACACAGATGTTCAAAATGTTGAACTATATGTTCACTGGGACACGGCAGATGTGGATTCATTTATCGAGTTTGTATGAATCCACAAGTAGACATCTACGTACATGTGACTGAGTGTTAATGCAAAAGGTGGGCGTATGTGTTCATTTGTGCTCGTACGAAGTCACTTTACCTCAAACAATATGTCCACCGAGTTAACAGACCTCTTCACAGACCTCATAAAATTGTTCACAGTTATCACAGAGACTGAACATATGGTCATGCAGTTGTTCGTAGCGATACATATGAACAAGTAGTTCAGTTGAATATATGATCAGGCTATGTGATTTAGGTTCAACTCAACTACTTGTGCCTATGTTTCGATATGAACAACTGTATGAACATATTATCAGGCTCTATGTGTTAATATGACCAGGCTCTATGTTGATAATATGAACAACTCCATGAACATATGATCAGGCTCCTGATCATATTAATGTGATTTAGTTGTGCATATGCAACGATATGAACAAAATCTGTTTGCGCTATTTGTAAATATGTTGTGTCTGTTAATATGTTATCGATATGTACACATGCATCTGCCACTTGATTTTACCAAAACAGTAAATGAACAACCGGTCGGTCAACATTAGCGTAACTGAACCCGGATATAGATATACTTGATTCATTTTCGTTGCCCATATGTTTGTTTGTTTAAACCTAAGTTGTTTACATGGCAGTCGACATTTTTGGTGGAGTGTGCAAAACACGTGAATACAGCCTAAGATGTTCAATCCTGTATGTTGACATATTGGATTGAATATAAGATTTCGGAAGTGAGAAACGTACACACACCTATATGTTTTTTAACTGTGAATGAGTATTGTTCATAGCAATCACAATGACTGACCATATGACCAATGTGGACTAATTGTTCACAACAATCACAGAGACTGATCATATGTCACTTTACCGCAAACAATATGTCGACCTTGTGAACATACATCTTCAGATACTTCTTAACATTGTTCACAGCGTCGACTGAGTCTGATCATATATTCAACTGAGCTACTTGTTCATATGTATCGATATGAACAACGACATGACATACTACCCAAAATCATGTTAATATTCATGTGATGTAGTTGTGCATACGAAACATTGTGAACAAATTCTGCTTGCGCTAGTTGTTTATATGTTGTGTGTGTCCTTTTAGTCTTATTATCTCATGATATGTAATGTAATTGTTCATGTGCGTCAACATTTCAATTATAATGCAGTTCATAAAGCTGAACAGTAATGAATCATAACATCTTTTCCTATTTGAACGAACGCCTTTGTTAATTGAAACTAACTACATTGGTTGTGCGCAGATGGATCCAATCATGAGAGATCAATCTTTGGATGTGCACAAAAGGTATCAGAGTTTCAAAAATATCATATCAAACTACACACTCAATGACAAAGGGTTGATCGGTATGCGTAATGTTGACATGGTACGTATCACGTTTTGTTATGAAGATTATTGTACAATACCTGAAAACGTATTGAAATACTAACAACTAGGTTACATATTCATTCTATAGATATTTTCCCGGTTGTAGAAGATGCTTACTATTACATGGTAGTGTTTGATCTAAAGCACCCATCAATCATGATCGTTGACTCTACGGATCGTGATGGCACGATTGAAGATATCTATGGATCTATTACTGTATCTTTGGTTAGTATACTTTATTATTGATCTTACATTATGCATGCACAATATATACCATAAATAACTTGATTTATTTATGATTTATTCAGCAAGATATGTTGATTATGCATCTAATGGGAGAGGGACATGAGGCTGGTAAAATATATGCAGAAATGGACCAGGAACAGATCCGAACTAGGTGGCAGTCCCGTGAAGGATCGATCGACTGTGGTGTAATGCTCATGCGACATATGGAGACCTTTTTGGAGGTGATAGTGGGAAATGGGACTGTGGTCTCTATAAGGAGAGAACGAAGCAAAAAAGGCAACTCAAGGATCTGCAGACTAAGTACTTCTCCAAACTCATACTCAGTGAGGAGAACATAGAGCGCGGTCATAAAAGATGTACATCGATTCATCGCAATGGAGACGTCATACAATGCGAAAAAGAAGCATGGTGATACACATATAGGTCGGGGGAAAGGGTAGATGGAATTTGTAGTTGGTGTTGACATTATAATATTTCTAGTTTTTATTTTAAACTTTATCCTCTAGTTCAGTTATGTTAGGGAAACAGTTTTTGGACATGAAACTACATCATGTTTTTTTTTAAATGAAGTATGTCTTTTAACCAACATGATAAATCTTATAGCTTGGAGAACATCTACATAAGATGGTTTTCTGTTGGTATATTTGGTCAGTTACTTTTGCTGCAGGTATTGACATATATTGTGAAATTCTACCTAAACTTGAAGATATCATATTCTTTCCGCTAGCCCGAGGTGCTACATGGTAAAGTTTAGACAGTTGATACGGTTGTACTTTTTGATAATCTGATTAGTTATGTGGATTTAGTGAGTTATTTGGTGACTATACCAATGCCCAACTTGTTAACCGACTTAGGGTCTGTTTGTTTATGTATTGGTTCACCCCTACCGACAGCTTAATCCATGTATGACTTAATCCAAACAACAAAGAGCCCCTTACTGTTATTTACATGTTATTGTTAAATTCTGTCTACATGTGGCATATTAGTAGGTGCTCATACGTTTAACTGTATATACTTTCATCTCGAAAAGTTAATGAAAGTGTATATGTTATACACGGTGTCACATACACGGTGCGAACATAATATGATATTTAAAAAAAACACAACCTGAAAGGCGCATGACATATAAAAAAACTAAACGGCATAACCAATAGTCTTAATAAAAACAATTTAACCGAAATCTAAACTACAAGGCAACGACGTCGCACAAACATACGTCAGTTTGACAGCAACAACTAAACAACAGAAAAGATTACAAAAAATAAGTAATTGAATGCTAACTAATCTATCAATTCTGGGCAATTACGTGAGTCGTGGCCACTACGTTGTCCACACGTTGCACATTTTTGTTTTGCTTTTTTACTGTTATTTTGTATTTTTTCGGAAACACTTAGCAGCCTCTTGCCAGTGCCACAATCCTTGTTCCTTATTCCAGATGGTGGTAGAATGTCCACCTCATCAGGTATGGAAACACCTAGATGATCTCTAATTGCATCCAACTTTTGTTGGGATGGGTCTTCGTATGGAACTTCCTTCTCTATATCACCCATGAATTTGTCGAGGTTACGCCCCAGTCTAGCCAATATAGATTTATCATTGCGGGCGATGCTTATTATGTCGTCGACCTTAGAATATACATCAATTATACACTTATCTTTTTCGGCATCAACCTCCCCATAAAGAACTCTTGTAGATTGTATCTGTACTGGAACTAAATGTCGTTTCCAACGACGTAATACGTATTTTTCCGGAATGCATTCAACTTCATTGTTTATCAGTACCTTGAACGCGTGACGACAAAGATACCCGTTACGCGTAAATAGGTTGCATTCACATTCGACTGTGTTTGTTGAGTAATTACAGCACACCTGTCGTGTCAGAATGGTAAAAACAACAACAGTCAAGATAAAATTAAAAAACATAGGAATCAGTGTGTAGAATGTGAGTTAGGGATATGATACCTGATACGTAATTTTGTCAGATGATTTCTTGGTCTTGTGGCTTATCATGAATGACGTTAAATCATCCCGGCATTCGACGGTCTCAATAGTACAAAACCAAAAAGCCTTCTTTATTTCCTTTTGGATGTCAAAAAACACGTTTCGACTGTATATGCTTGATGCATGACTTTTTAAACGCAACGGAGTAACAAACTTTAGATTAGTCGTTCTCGTGACAGTTTCGTGAATAGATTGTTTGTATCTTTGTTTCTCTATAGCTACGTCGTAATTATTAAGGAATTGAACCAAATCAAACCAGTACGATTCGTATATATTAATATACGAATTCGAACTCTCAGATCTTGATGTTGTTTTCATTAGTCCAGACATCGGCGTGTCCTTATAATAGGCAGGGATCCATGAGTGTCGGATTTCATACATCTCTGTGAACCAAGTATCCCCACCTAGATTGTATTGATGTATCATCTCATGCCAACGAGTCTCAAACTCCTTTGGGCCAATATGTATGTTCCATATGAGCTTGTTGATAACTTTATTGAAGTTAGGATCGTGATTTAGTGCGGCACTAACCTGTGTTTACAAGGATTCAACAAATGAACGAATAACATGGAAACCTCATTTAAATACAATAGAATTCAAATATACTACTTACCTTTGAAGGCACCTTCTTCATAATGTGCCACATACAGAGTCTATGCTTGGCTTCCGTGAAAACCATCGGGATAGCCTACTTCATCGTCGAACATTGGTCTGTAATCACAAACAACGGTTGTCTATCATGACATTTTAGAAAATCCTTTAGAACCCCATGAAAAGTTATCAATTGTCTCGCCGCTTATTAGAGTGGATCCGACAACAACGGACGCCTTATGGTTGTCAACAGCCAAGAAAGAAAAGAAAATCATTGCATGCCTGGAAAAACATATCAAATATTATGTGTATGTATTTGTAGCCACGTCATATGCCAATAAAAAAAATCGAAACGTTATGAAAACAATAATTGTATTGCACTTGGGAAGCTTACTTGTCAGTGCGAAAGGTCCCGTCAAACGATATGACATCACCGAATTCTTTGTAGTTAATTCTAGCAACTTCATCTGCCCAGAAAATTGCGCTCAACTCCTGTTCATTGCACTTGTATTCTGAAAAAAAAAACCGGGGACTATATCCCATCTGTTTGATAGTTTATTGATCAACATCTACGCGTCCTTATTCCCAACACAAGCAACAGCATCCCTCTTAAAATTCTTGAAGTTGATTTCAGAGACTTGAGTATGTTCAAATCCCCCGTTCAATGCGGTTTGAATACGGTGAGCCCTTCTCGCACCAACTTTGTAACTCAAGCTATTTAGTACAGTTTTGAAGTAAGTATACTTCATTTGTCTATTCTTCCGAGAGAAACGACGATCATTAATGTTGAACAATGCATGATTATGTGCCTCAACGAACTCATATATCTCGTAACAAGCCCTATCCTTCGTCAAATGTATTTTTATACATGCATTACAACCAGAACGCTTGAGGTTTGTATTGCGGTATCTCCTCTCACCGGCATGCATATCCAACGAATCAAAATCCTTTTTTCTTGGGTTTCCCTATCTGCTGCAGACAAACCACCTAGTTTGAATGTCGCCGTGCTTGTTCGTTTTTTTGCATGAATACGAACATCAAACCTGGCATTGTCCGCGTAAGGCCTGTACATCTTTTCAACCTCATTTATAGATGCATATTGTGCGTTGGTCTTTGGCTTAAGTGTGTCATCAACCTTTGGGGTAAAAAACTTTATTCCTTCTGAACTCTCGACTATATCATAATCAATTTCTTGTTGTGAAGAAATTATATTATCAGGACCTGATGTAAAACAAGTAGTTAATTTTTGAGGTTAAAGTTAGAATAACATGAATGTATTTATAAAGGGCAACAACCAGGGGGTATAGTGAACTCACAACAACATGAAATATATATCTTGTTTGTTATGTCAACATATGAAATACTAATTAAAAACAGCATTAACCTACAAATAGAGAACTTAGCTACGTATCTACAGCGCGTTGATATCAATGTTTCCACGTTCGGCAACGTAAGAAACARAATCTTTCTGCTTATGTATAACATAACACTTGGGAAGTTAGTTTCTGTTGAATGCAGTGGTTGTCAATTAACACAAGGTGACGAATTCATGACCCTAAACACTACATAATGATTTAACCACTTGTATATTAAGGATCAACCTATGGTGTGATATGCAAACAGATATCACTTGACGTAGTGTAATGAATGCCTGATCGGACTGAGGTAAGTGACATGTTAACACAATGAACAGCACCCGTAAGTTCATAATTTTTATCCGAGTGAAGGCATGATCACATATGCACACGCGCCTTTAAATGAAGTTTGTGCACATGTACGCAGTTTCACACGTATTAGCAGATTCTGTTTGTGTGCGTATATGACCGTTCTCTTCTAGATTGCGTAAAAAAATATGTGTGCATCTGACCATTTGAATAAGTGATTTTTCATTACATTATCTTAAAATGATGTAGGCGGTTAAAACACCTAGAAATGAATGAAACGCAAAGGAATCAGCTAATATAGCAGTTGTGATGGACAGTGGACGTAGTCACTTATGATAGTGTACTCCATTTCACCGTTGCCGGACAAGAGATTAATTGTGATGGACAGATGTTAACAGCAATCACGGAGCCTGATCATATATCCCATGTGAAGTAATTGTGCAAATGTACCGATATGAACAGCGACATGACATACTACCCAAAATCCTTATTCAAATCACAACCGTTAGATGTTCAAATCAACAACCAATATCGGTTAACAAAGGTAACACGAAAGTCTTGGTTAGATGTTCAAATGAACGACCAAAAGATCAAATAACAGTTGTTCACAGCTCTCACATAGCCAGATCATATGTTCATGTTCACTACTTGTGCATATGTATCGATATGAACAACGCCATGACATACTACCCAAAATCCTGTTCATATTCATGTGATGTAGTTAACATGTGTATCGATATGAACAAATTCGGCATGTGCTATGTGTTCATATGTTGTGTGTGTCTGTAAGTTTTATTATCTCATGACATGTGATGTAATTGTTCATGTGTGTAAATATAAAAATCTAATGCAATTAATACAGCTGCACAGTAATGTATCATAACATCTATGCCTATTTGATTTGTGCAGTTTAATATATGTTAAGGCTTCACTATAATGTTACTGCCTTGCATATTGAATATGAGAATTGATGCTTAAATAGCAGTCGAGTGGATTTCTATTACAATGTTAATAGTTGTTCAATGCATTTCATTCAGCACCCTTCATCATTACAAAACTTGAAACATATTTTTCAAATTATGCTCTTTACACACCCTATTTGGTTTCCTGACTGATTGTTTTAAATCTTGACACCAAAATCATCTTTACAATGGTAATAGGTGTCCAATTAAACAAAATAAACGTCATATTAATCACTTACCAATCGACACACTTTGATCATCTTTTTCATCACCGGAATTCGAATTCCGAACGTAGTCGTATCCATGTTTAACTTCGTCATTTCCATTGTTATCAATATGATTTACGATAGTATTATCCATATTACTCGGACAATACGTAAATCTTTTACACTTACACAACGAATATAATTATGTGTATAACATCACTTGACATCACAATCATGAACATGAATGAGATAGAATTCATAATTACCTACCGAGCAAATTGAGGGATCTTCAAAGATTTGTAACTCCCAATTAAATATTAGGGAGTTACATAAAGGTTAAATTACATAATCACCCTTGTATTTAATATATAGGTTACATTTAAACATAAAGTAAAGAAAAAATTTGATTGGTTAGTTTTGGTTAGTATAGTTAATACAAAATTCTTGGTTAGTATTTGAACCAACATATATATATATATATATATATATATAGGGGCCTAATCAAATGAGAACTAATTAGTTTGTGGTAACTGTGAGAACCAATATTAACCACAAATCAATATATAAATTAGGAAATTTATAATTTTGGTAATTTTGAATTAAAATATTAATGCAAGGATATTTTTGGTATTTTAAAATTTTCCTCCCTCTCTTCTCTCTCCGGCCACCGTCCTCCGGCCACCATCCTCTGGCCACCGGCCACCGTCCTCTGGTGATACTACAATGGTATCACAATGCATCATATATGTGCTTGGGTATCACATTGATGTCGTTTGTGTGGTCGATCGAAGATGTAACACAGTGGTATCACTATGCATCTT